TTTTTTTGCCCCTGTGTTCCCGCTGCCCTTCCCCCAGTGTGCCTGCTCAGGCTGCTCACCTGGTCCTCAGCACCCCCAATGTGAGCCCGGTTCATGCAGCTCTCATTGTGCCCCGGTTCCGGGAGGGGACCGCCCGCCGCCTCCCCGAAGTGGAGAATGTGCCCCTGCAGGGGAGGCAAGGCTTGGCCTAAGGCCACTTCTGCAGACCCTTCCGGCCAGAGCCTTCTGGGACGACCCTCTGATCTGCAATTCCATTTTCTGGAATTCATCCTGGGGCCCAGTGTGAGGTGTTCCCAGAGTGGTTTGCTGGGACAGCACGGCCAAGGCAAAGTGTCCTCGTAGGGCGTGGGCAGCTAGCAAAGGGCCAGCCTTTCCGGGGACTTCAGGGCTGCCAAAAAGAGTGCGTTACGAGGCCCTGCCCAGGTCCCCGCCCACAGCAGCCCGACCGAGGGGACGCTGGAACTTCTCGTTTGTCCTTTGCACGAGCTTGTATAAACAGCGAAGTCGTAGCGAGCAGAGGCCGCCCAGGAGGCGCGCTCCGCAGCCGGGAGGGGCTGCCCACGGGTCCCGGCATCCCGCGCGCGAGGGGCGGGGCGCCGTGACGCCATCCGCGGGCGCCGCGCCGGAGCCGGAAGTGCGGAGGCAGCGTCGCGCGGCCACGTGCGGAGCGTCCGGCAGCGGGAGCCCGCCGAGCCTGGCGGGTGAGACTCGGTGCGGCGCCCCCCCTCGCCCCGTGCCGGCCCGGCCTGCCGCGTCCCCAACGTCTGCTGGGGGGCCCTTACCTCTCCTGCATCCCCCTCTTGCCGCCCGTCCGCCTGGAAGCCCGCTTTGGGGGAGACTCGGGTGAGGGGGGTTCCGTGGAATGAAGCCTGGCCTGCAGGTGATAGCCCAGACCACTGACCGCTGCCCCGCTGGTGGCCGGTCCCTCCTCTCACACCTGGAGAATGGGAGCCGGTGTCCCGGAGAAGGGTGATGAGAGGGTCTGATCCTTAGTAGGAAATCGTGGGCTCGTCCTTTGCCATTGCCCCACTTGAGTTTCTCCATCTGTGATTTGGGCTGATGACTTCTAATTCATGACCTAGACCAAGAAGGGCTTAACACGTCAGTGCAGGGTGCAGCCTGTTGGTCGTCCTGTTGGACAGAGCCAGCGACGGAGCCAGCCTCCCCACCCTCACCGCTTGGGACCTGGGCCTCACAGCCCTCCACCCAGATCCCAGGTGCACCCTCCTGGCACCTTTGCATGCTCATGCCCACACACATTCTCCCAGGTCTCAGGCACCTGCCAGATAGCAACACCATGAGCTTCGTGGCGTATGAGGAGCTGATCAAAGAGGGTGACACGGCCATCCTGTCACTGGGCCATGGTGCAATGGTGGCAGTGCGTGTGCAGCGGGGGGCACAGACCCAGACCCGGCATGGCGTCCTGCGGCACTCAGTAGACCTCATCGGCCGCCCCTTCGGCTCCAAGGTGACCTGTGGTCGAGGTGGCTGGGTGTATGTGCTCCACCCCACGCCTGAGCTCTGGACACTGAACCTGCCACACCGCACCCAGATCCTCTACTCCACTGACATTGCTCTGCTCACTATGATGCTGGAGCTTCGGCCTGGCTCTGTGGTCTGTGAATCCGGTGAGTTCTTTGGGCTACCTCAATCCTGATTCTGAAAAATTGACTTGAAGATGAAAGTCTGACCCAGCATCCAGACAGCCTCCATCCTGCCCTTCCTGAAGACAGGCGTGGTTGCTCAGCTTCTATTTTACCAATGTTTTGGGGGGGCTGACTGCAGGGAGTGAGGGCAGAAGCAGGAGCACTAGTTAGGAGGCAGGTGCTGTAATCTAAATGAGAGTTGATGGCACTGGACCAGGGATTTCCCCCAGAGGAGCTGGTGTTCAGTGAGAGTCCTGCCTGCCTTGGCGAGGCAGGGCCAGAGTGCCACTTGGCTCTGGCCTAGGTGCTGACTGCCAGTCGCTACCCCTGTGCTGATAGGAGGGCAGAGAGTGGCTGGCCCAGCAGTCCCCGACCACCCAGCCCCAGGGCTGAGAGTTTCCCCTTCCTGGAGGGAGACCAGGGCTGCTCTGAGGTACTCATTGTAGGTGGGGAGTCTCTATCTCAAGCTCATCATTGGCCGGCACTGCTGTCACTGAGCCCAGGGCCTGAGGTCGTTCTGGCCCTTACACACACACACATACACACGTGCTGGGGCCACCTGGGGTGGAGACTGAAGCATACAGCCTGGTCAGGAACAGCCCAGGCCCGATGCACCTATATTTCCAGCATGTGCCTCATGGGCTGTGCAGCTGGGCTCCAAGGTCACAAAGAGTTCCCAGAACCATTGCTTCCAGGTCTGAGGACTTGAGGCCATCTTGTCCCTCTCAGGCCTCTTTCTCCGTGTTGGCCAGCCAGATACTTTGAAACGGGAAGAGTCAGGTGCAGAACCTGGGCTGTGGGTCAGAGGGTTAGTGGGGTCTAGGCAGAGGCCTGCTGCTCAGCCACTGGGGACTTGGGGGGCCGGTGGCAGATGGGCAGCAGGCCCTCGAGCCAGCTCCATCCCCTACTGCTCTCTGTGCAGTGGGTGTGCTTCTGGGCTCTAATATGCCAGCTGTCCTCTAGGAACTACAGGTACAGCCGTGAACAAGACAGGCCAGGTTGCCCCTTCCCCGAGGGGACAGTAAGCCCAGTGTCACTGTTTCAGTGCTGTGATCGCTGTGAGGCTAGTAAAACTGGACTGTGTGTTTGAGGGTGGCTCCAAGAGGTCCCTACACCTCGGTCGGTCCAGGAAGACCTCTGGCATGGGGACATTCAGTTGGAAACGAGAAGGAGGAGGCGCTACGAAGAGCCAAGCAAGCGAGAGTGTCACCCCAAGGGTGAGCTGTGCAGAGGCCCTGAGTGGACCCAGCAAGGAGGCCAGCGTGGCAGGGGCAGGAAATGAGGTCGGGAGGAAACGGGCACAGCTCGGAGGGTGGTCGGGTCTGACTGTGCCCGTGTGGAGAGGCGAGAGCAGGGCCTCACCGAGGGGAACAGAATTGCCTGTCTGGTGGTGGTTACAGAGCCAGGAGGAGGGCCCAGGCTGCACGGGGGCAGGGTGGAGGTGGGGAGGCAGGAGCTACCTGTGGACCGAATGTGGGGTGGGAGAGGGGAGTCTGGGGCACCCCTGCGATGTCTGGTCGAGCTGTGGGTGTCGTTGACTGGGCAGGAAGGGCCGATGGGAGGGGTTCGGGCTTGGAGCGGATCCAGCTTTGTCCTCGTCAACGCCGAGCGCTGTCGGGTGTTGGGAGGTTGTGCGTGTGTGCTGGACAATAGGAGTCTGCAGCGAAGGGACCTGGCACTGGGGAGCGTGCATCAAGACTGGCACCCGAAACCGCAGGGCAGGGGAGGTCATGGGGGGACGCAGCCCCAGCTGGGCACAGCCAGGTGAGAAGTCAGGCGGAGGGGCAGCACTGACGGGAGCCGGGGAGTGGCCAGGGCAGGTGGAAGAGAACTGGCGGACTGTGACGTGGGGGAAGAGTGGGGCCCTGTGGAGAGTCGGCTGCCGTGTCTTGGTGCCGTGAGACCAGGCGAAGCGAGGGCAGAGGCACACCACACTCCTGCTGCACGTGGCCTGGAGGTGGGCAGACCTCTGAGTGGGCAGCGAGCTTGGGGGACTCGGGGCCAGCCACCGG